TGTAATTCCAGAGTAGTTTTTTGAAATTGAGTCTCACAGACCCCAGCAAGCCCAGGGTCTTTTTTTCTCGATGTGTAAATGCGGTAAATCGCAATCTACACCGCGATTTAATCCGATTTAAATGTGTTTTCCAAATTACAGTGGGCAGAATCGCAGGACACGATGAGAAGGCAGCGTTTACTGGATGCCTTAACAAATCCAATGCAGCGCCTCACTAGGTACAGCTTACTTCTCAAAGCAGTGCTCAAACACAGTATCGACGATTCTCAACGAGATACCATTCAGGTCCAGCAACTATTTCTTTTTCATTTAATACATTTGCTTTGATAAACTGATCAGCTACTGGTTCGTTATCATATTTCTTTTCGCTATTGATTTAGTTGGCAATTTCTCAGTTCTCCTCTGTTTTGGGTTTCTCTTTGGATTTAATGTGAGCGTTCACGCTTTTTTCCCTCACCTCTCTTGCTCTTCCGTTCCTTGCCTTCAGTAGTTTAAATTAGGTAAATTTGCTTGATCGTCTGATATAAAACAAAAAAGCGAAAATTCCAGGATATGATAATACGAATCGAAAAAGCGACAAGAAACGTTGAAGAAACACTCAATAACAACGACTTACAAAATAAGCTCAAAGAGCTGTCAAAGACAATTGAAAGCTACGAAGCTGTTGATAGTGAAGAATTTGAGAGAGTTCGTTATTTTGAACACTTTATTTCATTCAGCAATCGTTGACCTAGGGACATGCGGTCATTCCAAGAACTAAATTTTGAACAAAAAATAGAAAAAACAAATTATATCTTAGAGATAAATAAATGCCAATACCTTTTGTGTTTGTCCAAAAAAGCTCTTCCGCTTATTATATCATAATCGTCCATTTTTCTCTCTTTCATCTAATGGCCTTTTAAAGTCTCTAAATTATTACAGTCGGGTAAGAAGTTTATGAACTATATATTTTTTGTATTGGCACGCATGGTACTGTGGTTTTCATTACAACCCCACGTCTACCACAACCCTGACATTCCTATTTGGAATGACCACTGCTTGGTCAGGCCGCCATGGCCCCTCTTCTCTTTCTGTTTCGGTAGACTGTGAAGTGCAGTTCATTCGTCTGCTTTCGGATTTTGTCGGGATTTGCAATAAAATATCTAGATTATCCAAATGCAGATTTTCCCGATGAAGTGTTATCTCCGTCTGGCCGATCCGATGCCATATTTTGTGGGTCAGCCACAGTTTCGTCGTGTTTACTTGCGCGGTGATCTGAAGATGAAGGATGGTAAACAGGGTGCCAAGGTGAGACTTAACTGTTCAAATTCCAATCCATACAGTGAAAAGCGCACAGATGCTGTCTCAGATTTGGAGGAGAGAGGGGGAGGGGTGATGGATGAAAAGAAACTTGTTTCTGATTTTGTCATAGATATCTGGAGCAGGGGAAGGGCTGAAACATTACTTGCTTGCACAGTGCTTGCATAATGAGGACGGAAAGGAGCCCAACCTGAAGCTATTCTTGCAACAACAAGAACGATAGAAGCTCGAAATTTTGTGGAAAAACACCGAGGTCATGTGCGGAAAATCGTACTATCTCAGTTTTTGAATTTTCCTTAACACGATTGTAGAGCATTTGGATTCTCTGATCAATGCATTGGTTGATTTTTGCGTACTCTGTAATTTGGTGCTTCCAAAAAAAACTAAGATTTTCCTTAAATCTTTTCCCTCCAATGTTTTTTACTATTCTTTAAATTGCAGGTAGATGCGCACTGTATTTTGTTCACGGATCTCTTTCTTATTTGTAAAGCTTTCAATAAACGGTACGATCGACTGAGGATACTCAAATCGCCAATACATATCGCTAAAATGTGCCTTCAACAATTTCCCGATTACTGTAAGTTTTCAGAGTTTCGTGAAAAAAAAAAATGATTTAAAACAAGTTATTTCGTGGAAAAATATGAGATCGATGAACTGAGGATCTTTAATAGAGGTAGAGGAATTCGTGACAAATACATATTCATTATAATTGTGTAATTTGCACGATGAAAGTCCTTCCAATGAGAAAAGCTGATTCGTAAAGCTGTTAGCGTTTTTCTTTCTTTATTTTGCTATTTTGTATGGAGGAGAAATGAAAAAAATCCACAAGATTC